ACATGCTTTCAATTACCATTGAACAAACTCCACAACAAATGATAAATTTCAATTTCGAATGGAAACATAACCAAATGGAAGAAGATTTGAAAGAAATTATAGAATAAACGACAAAGATGTACAGAAATAGAGAAGACTTTGAAAAGAGCTTTCTTTTACCATTAAGGAGGTGAAAGAGTCAACCATTTTGAAATTACTCTTGATTTCTGTTTCAATCGGTTTCAGTTGTTGTTTCATTCAGTTTCATTTTTATCCAATTTCACACTCTGACCTTATTTTCTTTGCAAATCTATTATTTTCTAGTCATCGAAATTTTGTTATATAAATTAATAGACATCTTGCAATAGCGAGTTTTCTTCTACATTATATTTATATACAACCTCTAACTTCAAAAATAATTTAGCGACAAATAAATTCCTTGCTTCTCTAGTCAAATAATACTTTAAAGAATAGATTATGTATGACTGTAATATAATTTAGCCAATCAATGATGTTAATTTGCTTAATATGTTGGATTAAGGAACCCATCATTTAAAGGTTTTACAGCCTTAAATTTGTTTTTAACTTCATTTTCAGGTGTAATAAGTTGTGGATAAATCAATTATTCGAATAAAACTATACTTTTAAAAAAGGAACAGAACAGAATATTACAAGATTAATTAGCGTTAATCCATTATTGAATAATCAGCATCAATGAGACTTTCACACATCAAAGCAAATGAAAGGTTGCAAATCAATTTTAAAATTGAAAAAGATGTTCAGATTGTAAATTGACCTTATCAGCTTAGGTTGGAAAGCAGTATTGGGTTTCTGCCACGTGTTGACGAGGGTACAAATCCCATGCCAAGCTAGTTTTGTTTTTATAACTAAATTTGGTGTACATGTTTTGCTTTCCTAAATTCAATAAAAAGACGGAAAAATAAAAACATAAATGCTCATTTGAAAATTGAAAATTTTCATTTATCTTTTTTCAATAAATTTCTTTTCATTTTTAAAATATATCTCAAAGTAAAATTTCTCCGCATTTACAACGATTTATATGGATTTATAGCTAAAATTTAATTTCAATCTTAATTAAGAAAAATATATAATTATATCATGCTATGTCAGAGTTAGATAGATGTTGCAATACATTTTGTGAAAGTAGAGATAAAGACATAATGGGTACTACTATTTCCTTCGGATTATAATGAATTCTAAATAATTCTAAAACATTTTAGTAAAACTCTTTAATATTCTAGAGTTTTTAATATTAATTATTTACACTAATATAAAATACAAACTCTTGAACCTTCTTCAACACTTAGTGTCACATGCATGGCACGACCTCTTTGTAAGTAGGCACATGTTACACACTTCCCTTCAACATTTTCTCCAACTTAATTTGTCTAGTTTCTCTCCTCCATTTTGATCTGTTCATTTATTTGAACCCTTTGTATATGTTTTTTTATGCACCCTTCACTTACTGAAAAATAAAAAAATAAAATAAAATAAAAAGGGCACATAGATATGGTTAAGCATTCATATAATTTTTTATAAAAAAAAAAGTTGAAAAGACTCATACGGTTTAGCTATTTTCTTTTATTTTAGGGAATATACTAAATATAAAGTGTTCAAAGGATATGCACTCCTGTTGCAAAAAATAATAATAAGAATAATATAAATTTCATTTCAAAAATAAAAGGTTTTATCTTTTTTTGGTTGTAATGTACCAAGAGATGTTAGTGTCAACAATGAATTTTGGGAATTTTTTTTTTTTTGTATTGTACCAAAAGAAAGTTATTGTGTGGAATGAATTTTGTGACCTAATGATGGAAGAAGACACAACGTTGACTTGAACACGTTTACAACATGATGTGAAATATTCGAATTTATATTGACATAACAATTTGTATTGACAGAATAATTTATCTGTTCGATGTAATACGATTCAATAAAAATGAAATTTTAGTAAATTTTAATAATTTTTATTGAATTTTGTAAGACCTTTAATACAAGCTGTACCTATTTATAAATTTTAAAGAGTTGTCTTATTAAAAAAGGACGAAGGTAATATTTTTACATAATTAATTAATGAAAAATAATACTATTTATGAAAAAATAAATTAAATTCATACTATGTACAACATGTGAGAAGAGAATATAGAATAAAAAACAAGTCAAAAGTACAAAGAAAATATAATTATGTATATGTAACACATTTTGTTTGATTTTCATTAATATATTGTGTTGGGCTATAAGAGTTGTATCCAAGTGTGTGACTGTGTGTGGTCTATTGTTTGCCCCCTGACGGTTGTCCAAGGGAAGACATGGGCATTTCAAGGTCATGCCATGTCTTGGGAATACTTTGGCTTTGGTTAGACAGCCATGAGGATTGCTCAAGGGGTTGTCAGCGTGCACAAAATGCTTAAAAGGATGCTCGGCCTGCAATGGGGCTGCCCACGTTATTGACAATATAGAGCCCACAAGGAACCTATGACCTTTCTCGTATAATCAAGGGAAAATGATATTTTAGGCGACAAAAAAAAAATCGACAAAATGTCGATTTCAACGTGGCAATAAATAAATGGTTTTCTTAAGCGCCCTCGCATCATATTAAATACAATAAGTTTCTTTAGACAAAAATATCATTTTAACAATTTTCTTTCATGTGTTCTTCACCTTTTTCTCCCCTGACTCTCCATATGATTGATTCATTTTCTTTTTATCGTCTTCATCTTTTTCTCTCTATATGTTAATCCTCTTTATAAAATATTTTTTCCACTAAAAGAGTCCAGTGAATAAGATTTTTATCCTAATCTGTTGTCTTAATATCATATAAGATTTCCACCCAAGAAAAAAACACATAAAAAAGAAAAGAGAGAAGATTTTTGATTTGCGATGGAAGATTTTTGATTTGTGATGGAAGATTTTCAATTTTCTTCCACTTCCAACTTTAAAGCAATTAAGATCTGGGTTTGTGGGATTTCAATTAAATTTTTTATTTTTTTTTTCTTATCTCTCATATACACACACACACAAACTGAGAAAGAAGAGTAAAGCAAGATGAGAGAAAATAATTAACAGAAATCCCACAAACCCAAATCTTTAAAGATTTAATTTCATCGTAATTTGAACAAATTTTGCAAATTGGCCATCAAATTGGTGCTCGATCACGCCGGCGGTAGATATTCACGGTCTCCGCCATGCCTCTAATGATGATTGCAGTTTCGCGACGGTCCACATAGAGGATGTGGAGAGAGGATGGGCATTATTTCTTTATTTGGATAGAGAGAGAAAAAAAAGATCTTTCAACTTTTGTTAACAGCCTTTGATATATTTAGATTTTAAAAATAGTCCATATAATAATATACATGTGGAAGTCGTAATATATCGGTTTTAAGTCGGGCGAAATAGCAATACTCATAATCAAGAGACGCTTATCTAAAATGAGTTAAGTTTCTTAAAATGGAGCACATCTTTATGATCAAAAGTTGTCATCCTTGCACAAGAATATACGTCATGTTGTCATTCGAGTCTTAGTGCACCATGTCTTAGTTTCAAACAAGCTTTAGTCATGTTATTGTCAAAGGAGTGAAGTAAGGTGCAACACCGACCCCAATCAGGATCACTTCTTGTTGTGGGAACTCGTGTTTGTGTCTTGTATAGTTATATTATTATTTTTGTTACGTTGAAACACAGGATCTTGATTTTACTTGACTAGCTCATTGTAGGACGGGTTAATGTTGCTATCATGCCCTTTTACAAAAAAATTCTTTCACCCGACTCAAATACCATAGGAGTAACAAACATTTTCTTTTACTTGTTGAGAGTAGTTTCGAGATTAGTTAACCATTATTAATTTTTTTTTTTTTAAATCTTTATATTTTTGGAAGGATAACAAATGAGGGGTTTGGAAGGATGAATGTCTCCAATCCTTTTTTCTTTTTTTTCTTTTTCAATTTAAGACAATCCAAACACACTTCACACCATCCTTTCTTTTTTTTTATTTCTAAATCCCTCAAAAATCTAAATCATTCAATCCAAACGGAGCTTTAATTTCTATTAAAAAAAAAAAAAAAAAAACCCTAACTGTCTGCATTCAAAAATGGTCAGGGACCTCTTACGAACATCAAAATTTCCAACACACGATTCCAATTTTGACACCTGCGCATTACCAAATTGCACTAGCGGTGAACACCCACACCAACCATTAATTTTTGTTTTCACATCAACCATTAATTATTCAGTAAAAGGGAAAAAAAATCTTTGATTTGACAGTAAGAAGTTTTTACTTCGAGAAATCAGATTTTAACAATAATATTTGAAAATGTTTTTGTTCTTTGCTTGGTGGTAGTGGAACAGACTAGGTATGTTGGAGTCTTTGTTTTCTTTTTTCTTTTCTTTTTTAATTTTTTTTACATGTGCAATTTTTTGCACACTAATCCTATCACTAGAATTTTTAAGATTTATTTGGATTGATAGAATTAGATTATAATACTTGGGGGATTTGGCCCAATTAAAACTCTACAGGTGTATAAAACTAAATAAGAATTGAAAATAAACCAATAAATAAGAATTAAAAATGAATCATTCTGTGATTTTTTTTTTTTTTTTTTTTTTACTGAAAATTCAAATACCACACATTTTTTTCGTTTCTCCCAGTATAAAGGACACCTATTCTCTCCATCATCACTCTTCCTATCTCTATAGCAAAACTCCATTGTTGCTCACCATCTTGTCCATTCCAAAACCCTAATCTCTATCCTTGTGATAGGCTACCAACTCCCTCCACCACTGTTGCCTGCCACCTCCTCCATTCTCAAACCCTAAAACCTAAGTTTGGGATCAGAAGAGATTGGTAGTGGTGATGCTGACATTGGTCCTCATTCTTAAGAAAGGACATAAGCCTACTACTACTGATATCTACAAAAACAACTGTAGTTCAATTGAAGGAGACAACACTAGAGGACTGAAGAACAATTAAAAGTGAAAATGACGTTAGTAACCATACTCAGAAATTGATGTGAATCACAACTTCATAAGATTTATAATTCAACCAATTATAAACAAAATTGACTTGGTTCATAATGGGATATATATAGTCTTCAAAAGAAAGAAAAAGGAAAGGCTGAAACATTGCTACAAAGCAATAGACCACCAGAGTTGATTTTGTTTTGTTCTCTCCATCTTTCAAGCAGAAGATCTTCGTCACGTTGAAGTTCAATATACCTGTCCATGTCAAACTGTGATCGTTGGCAACTTATACGACCTTTGAAGATGCTTCCCCTATCTTCTTTATCAGTCATTGAAGGACCAGCAACAAGTCCGGGGCTCCAACTCCCACGACTGCTAGTGGAATGACTACTTGGATCATGTGTCAAGATCTCATCCTATAAAATTATAGCATATACAGATTAGAACAAAATTAACAAGGAAAGATGACAAGGTTAAAAAAAAAAAAAAAAAAAAAACAAGAGGATTAATTTTACGAATTAGAATCAACCCTTAGATTTGGGCCTGAGAATGAAATAAACTGTTGCATGATGAATAAACCACCTATAAAGTTCCTCATAAAAGTAACCAATTTCACAATTTATAACCAAAAAGGAATGGGAAAACCTTAGAATACCATGGAAGGAAAAGACCAGTTGACAAAATGAACTAGGCAAATTCCAATTTTAGGACTTGCAAAAAAAAAAATTGGGACCTTCAAATTCTGTGTTAGCACATCAGTTCCAAGAACTCCTTGAAAGTGACTGAAACCAGGTCCAACAAATCATGCTAGTTTAGCAAATGTATTTTGTACTGTCATCAATGTGTTCAGAGCCAGACTGGACCAGGTGGTCGATCAACGAAGAAGGGTTAGCTACTCTCTTAAACCACCTTTGGAGTTTTTCTTCTCTTTCTATCCTCCTTTTTTTCTTTTCTTTAATTTCTTACCAATCTGATGCAACTAGGGCTTTTCCGATGTTCTATTCTGCAGTGTGGGTGGAATACCTTCACATTTTCTTGAGCTAAAACTGAAGCACCAATAGATTTAAAATATGGAACGCATTCTAGGTCGAGGTCATTAGAAGTCGGATCTAAAATTCGTATCAGATTTCTAGTTAAACCAAGCCATCAGCTGTGGTGGTTCTCGTCCCTCTGATTTTAATGAGATCAAGCCATGGACTATAGTGGTTGCACTTATCCTATTTTCTTGAGTTTACCTTTAAGCGCCAATGAATTGTGTTCTAGAACAAGGTCACCAGCTGTGTTACATTGACTCGGGAACACAACTATATATTCATGTTAATATAATATGCTTCTTTTATTCCCAGAAGTAAAATAATGTTTTTGTCATATAGAGTGTTCGAAATAGGAGCTTCCCTCCGTTGAAGTAATAATGTAACGAAAGGACCACAATAAAACAGTTTTATATGCAATCATATGATAAACTTGAACAATATGTTTAAACCTGAAAATTAGATACTCTGTTAGGTGCATGTTAGGCACATCCCATGCCCATGTCTGAGTTTCATGTGTTCAAGACGGTTACTTCATGCATTTTTTTGAGAATCTAGGTAATGTTGGTGATAATCAGAAGTCAGATCTGAAATGCTTATCGTACTTAGTACATCAAGCCATGCACCATGGGGGTTCTCCTCATGCTTCTCCTTACAGGCTGTAGTGGTTCTCCTTGTCCTTCTCGTACTCTCTTTTCTTCCAACAATTTTTGTTTAACCTTTAGATTGGTCGTGGAACACTTTAATATGTCCATTATATATATCTTCTTGTAATTTCCTTGTGTTTTTCCAGTTCATATCGATTCTTGAAAATATTTCATAAACTGTGTATTAGATATTCATGGCTGAAATATTTTGATTGGTCATGGGACACTGCAGTACCGTTTATTAGATTGTTATGGCTTGATAAAGAGTCAAGGTTATCGTTCAAATAAACAATACTGCACTTTACAAAGGGCTAGACGACACTACATTGATACCAACAGAAATGATTGTAACGATGTCATACTTACCACTATCGGGAAAATAAACACGCACACAAATATCCTATTGTGTGTTCCATAAAAGAAGAATTTATGGGACAAAGGAAACTACATAAGATAGGGTATTGACATGTAAGTTGTAACCAATAATCAATAGAAAAAATATTCTATGTTTGAACACAGATCAGCAAACAGAAATGAACACAAGTCTACTTACAATAGAGGAAGATTAGGAATACTCCAATCACTAGGGGTGTTCAAATAATCCGCTAATCCGTCAAACCGATCCGAACCAATCCGATCCGTGCGGTTCGGTTCGGTTTTTTGATCTAATGGTTCGGCGATGGTTTTAAAAATCAGCAATCCGTAATGAACGGTTCAGTTAACGGATTGAACCCTGAAAAAACCGAACCGATCCGATCCGTGAATTATAATATAATATATATATATATATATATAATTATATGTATACTGTAATATATTATTTCTATTTATTTATTTTTTATTCATTATTTGTTTTTTAAATTCAGCCCTGTATCGTACCCTAGTTTTCTAACATAACATCTGATTGTGCCACCTCTCAGTCTGTTTCTCAACTCTCTCTTCCTCGGTTCCTCATCTCCAGAAGAAACCATAAGATTTGAAATCTTGCAAATCTCCATCACTCATCATAAGGTACACAATCTCTCTCTACTTTCTCTCTCCATCACTCATCCCTTCCTAGGCCCAATCTCTCTCTACTTTCTCTCTCTTCAAAATTTCAGCTTAGTATTGTATTTGGGAGGGCCAATGATCGAAGACATCAGTGAATAACAAACCGTCTCGATTGTGATCGTTGATACTGAACGACGACGATACCCGAGCTCGGCGATCTCCACCGTCCGATCCGACGGCCGTGTTAGCTTTGTATGAAGCCATAGGGGCCGATTTGCCTTTGGTCTGAACCCATAGTCTCTGGCTAACGTTCCAAAGTCATCCATTGATGCCTTCTTTATTTTCTTGTATTCAAATTATGATAACAGTGGATCAGATCTGAGTGAAATTGCCGTTCATAGTAGGTCAATCAGAGAGTTAAAGAAACCCATCTTTGTTTATATATATCTATATCTATATATAGAAGAATAAATTGGGAAATTCAGTCGTGGTAAGGTCTTTGAAAACGTTTGTATATATATCTATGTCATTTGGCTTTTATAGTTAAATGCTTAGATCTGATTTACATCTGTTGCATGTTTGAATTGGTGTGTATAAACAATTTCTAAGTTTTTTGTGTTTTGTTCTTTGTTGACATGGTTGTTTTGTTTGAGAAATCCCAATCCGTGGAACCGAACCGAACCAATCCGTTACTTCACGGATCGGTTTGGTTCGGATTGAGAGTTCCCACGGATCGGTTCGGTTTCAGATTTAGCCAATCCATGAGGACCGGATTGGTTTGAATTATACCCAAAACCGAACCGAACCGATCCGTGATCAGCCCTACCAATCACCGTCGGAGCCTAGATTTCTAAAGGGAAATCTGGGGAAAGCCGTAAGAGAAGTTTATACTCTGAAATAATTCAAATTGATATTGATTATGACTTGATTACAACAGATATAGAGGCCTGAAAATCATATTCTTTATCAGTAACAGCAGATTAGTGTGTTTTGTTCGAGTAAGGAAAAGAAGAAATGGAAGGGTTTACTCAGGTTCTTATTTGATCCTGGTAAATTGCATCAAACTCGAGGGCGAGTTTTCTTCAAGGAGTACCAAGTGTTTACTTAGGAAAGTGATAATATGTTATTAATGTTATATGAGGATTCTAGAAGTCATTCTAGGAAAAGTCGAGTTTCATTAATAGTAGTATTATAAAAGGGACAGTCCTCTTTATCAGTTGCAACCAAGTCTTTATCAATATATTTTGAGTTATTATCAGATTTGAAACACTTCAGGCTTTTCCCAGATTTTCCTTTCGAAATCTAAGCTCCAGCGATGATTGGAGTATTCTAGTCTTCCTTAATACTGTAAGAAGACGTGTCATTTCTGTTTGCCTCATATTTCACTCATAATGCTTGCTAGTAAAGTCGAAAAGTTATATATGATTTTTGAATTTTAACCTCCAAAATTTCATTTAAAATGTTCAACACCAAGTTTAAAATCTAATCTGCTGACACAGTTCCAAAACCATTATCGCATCTATAAAGCACAAACTCATTTCTTGCCAGCCAAAAAAGCAACCCACTATATAACTAAATCAAAGATATCATCAATGCAAATAACTCCTTAGTCCATTGTGCATCATCTATGTAAATAACTTCTTAGTCTATTTTCACCGATATTGAGAAAGCAACACAAGGGATAAAAAGTAATTATACTACAGAGATATGCCACAGGTCAAAAATTACCTGAGATGAATCCCACAATATGGTTTTTGGAGTCACGGGAGACTGCCTCTTGTTCTTGCATGGTAGAGGAGAACCATCATTACTAGCCTCCCATTGCAACCAAGGTAAAATTAGACCATCCATCTCAACAGGAAGAGATTTAGATGTTACTGGACTTTGAAAAGTCTCAGTTTCAACACAACGCACCACAGCATCTCTTCGCTTTGTTGTTCCTCCTAAAGTTGAACTTGTATCACTCTTTTCTCCATCAAAAGAAGAAATATCTGTATCTTCAACATTTGAAATGAAATCCTCAAAATATTTCTCTGCCTCTTCAGTCAATCGCTTAGACATCCTATTTCTGTCATTACTCCTCTGAAAAATTGTGAAAGCATTGGAAGTTCAAATAATTTATCAGTACTTCTCTCAGGTGAAAATACCAGAGTCTAAAATGATCAAACTAAATAACAAGTAACAAGGATCAATGCTAATCCTGCTGTTGAACAAAAGTGAGAGGAGAGAATCACCTTTCTGGCTCGTGATGGCTTTGCTGCAACTACCGAGCTTTTTGGATCAGGAAGCAATTCTCTCACAATCTTAGAGAGCTCCCTACCATGTTGCTCCTCTAACACTATCTCAGCCAATAGATCTTGTTTACGCTTCTCTGACTGAAAATGTTGAGAAAATTCAATCATCACTACTTCAAGTTCCCAGAAAGAACAGAACTGATAATAGTTCAGAAAATAATGCAAAAAGTACTTTTCAAAATCTTCCTAGTCATCTGGATACTCCTATATATAAATTTACAAGTAATCTTGATAAGTAAACAAACCACATTCACCATAGTCGTATAAAATTGTGTTCAAACTGTGCTCTAAAATGCATTTCAACCTGTTTGTTTTTCTTCCTTCGTGTTAGATGCAATATAAAGCAGCATATGTTGCTTGTCATACATCCATAAAATAAATTTTCAACCATGGCATTAGGTTCAAAGTTAAAAAAATTCATGATGCATGCATTGGTTATATAAATTTTCAACCATGAATTTCTCTAGCCCATTGGTTATGGCCAAGTTTTAAGATGAATATATTCAGAGCTCTATTTTGAAAGATTAATATTTAAAAATTTAAAATAGTTCATTGTATAGCAAGAGGGAAGTCCTAACAATGGCGTGTCAAAAGGATTCATGCAAATAAGCATTTTCCTTGACTAGCTGTATCTAACAGATAAAGCAAACAATAAATAAAACCATAAAGAGCTTGACTAGGTCTCCTGGATCAATCAACTCATTGCAAGCTTCATGTAAATATATATATATATATATATATATATATAGTAATTTATGAATAAACATATGAATATATATTCTTCCCTGCATTTGTTTCTTTCTTTGAGATACAACAAATATTGCAAACAGGAGCCATAGTACATACCGTACTAAATTAATAATAACCATAAAGAAAAAATAATATAAGACCACATGAAAAAATTATTTTGAAGAGAAGAGTACAATTACCATACAATACCTGTTCCAATTTTGTTGCATAGTTTTTTCTTATCACTGAAACAGTTTGAAGAACATCAGAATTGTCTGACTGCAAACAATCAACACTTGCTAAATCAGACGTTTTTCTCACCATGGCCTGCATAAGTTAAAAGAAATCTCAACAAGTATCAGCAAATATAATATTTCATATGCTAATTCAGGACGTTTAAAAAAGAATACAACAATGCTATAAACCAGGTTTGCAGAAGGCTAAATAGCAACATACTTGTTCAAGTTCCATCTTAATTTCGTCAACAGCATATCTAAGTTCTTTTCTCATTGCTTCATACAACCCACCACCGCTCACATCGTCCCCAGTAGGGTGCTCTGCCTGAAGGGTAATAAAAGTTAAGAACAAAAGGGAAGCATAAAAAGAATTAGAATTGTGACACCGCTTGTGAAGCAATTAAATGGCACTTTATACAATAAACCAACCTTCTTCTGCGCATAAACTGCTCTAATTGTCTTCTCAATCATATTTTTACTAGAACGAGAATCCCTTGCTTCATCATCAGTTAGGGCTGAAGACGGGGTCTGAAAAGTCTGGATATATTAGTCTAAAGTTGCATTGGTTCTAGAAATGAGTCTAATGAAAAAAAAAAAAAAAAAAAAAGGGAAGAAGAAGAAGAAATAAAAGAAAAAACACTTTGAATGATGCATAGAATGGTGCATTAAACAAATAAAGGCATCCAGCGAATCCCAAGGCAACCATTGGTATTGTTACGCCAGTTGATATTATTCATAATTCCATGAATTGATACCTCAATTAAATAATTATAAAAAGAAAGCCTGAGAAAGTAACAAACATCAACTCTTTTTAGGGGGATAAGGGACGGAAAACTCTTACAGAGTAGTCATCATATACACTGGATAGATTTTTCTGACTGAGAGACCTCCCAAATCGTCGATGACTTGATGCTGTTGGCTTCTGTGATGAAAGCATCTGACTATTTCCAGTCTTGAAACTCTTCGTATTTGCATGATTGCCAGGATTGCGAGAATGATCTATATCACTCTATCATTAAAATATAATTGGATTTAGTTAACTAAACCAAATCAAAATAATAATAATAATAATAATTTATATATATAAAGATATTACAACAAACCCTGTGGCCCAAATTAAATGTAAGAAGAGCAACTGGGAGATTATCCAAGTAATTGTTATACATGCAGATAAGGGATAAAACAAGATACACCAAAGAGAAGAAGTAGAAATATATGATGGGATTCATTAACCCCAAGTAGTTGTAATAAAGCTCTGTGATAGTAGCCATAGATTCGTTCAGAATTCAACAGCAGATCGAAAGTCAGCATACAGTAGCGCATTTTAAAGTGAAACTAACAATGACAACTCATTTAGGACCAACCCATGGACAGAACTACCTGGTAAAGTCGCTGCTACCCAACCGGGCCAACCCAACTGCCAGAGCCTCAAATGGAAGAGCTGACACATGGCAATATGCAACAGCTTTCCTAGGAAGACACATGGAGATTATCCAACTAATAGGTTTGTATGCAGTTAAGAGATAATTTTCAAATTATTGAATAACAAATGAAACGCTGTTACACTTTTTACTGAAAAAGTTAAAAATAATAATAATAATTTCAGTTGTAAGAAAGAGACAAGTATTTCTTTTTGAGATTTCTACGCCTACCAAAAAAACTTACATGAATCTTGATTGAACCCCTTCACAAATTCTAAACAAAATGTGTTTCAGATACGCCACAATACAACCAAAAAAAAATCATGATTATGTGCCAATATTTGATGTCCACGTTATGGAAAAAAGAAATCTAAATCGTTTTCCTTAACAATAAAACCTTTCTACATCTTATGATGTCCACATTATGCCAATATTTGATGTCCACGTGTATATACACAATCTAGACTCTTCTCCAACTCTCATATCCACTTATTTAGTAAAACCTTTCTACATCTTCAGATTTCTTAATATGGTCAAGCTTTGCATTTATGTAAATTGCTATTTTGATTTTTCCTATTATAAAACAGTTCCGTGGTAAAAGAAAGTATTATTCTATATTTAAGGTTCATTAGTTCATTACATGTACACAAGGTTCAAGAATTGTTGGGGATGTGTCCAAAAGTAAGAATTTTATTTTAAAACTATAGATACGTCCAAATGTGTCTTGACACATTATCAAGAATTGTCCAATAGTGTTGTCTTCAACATATTTTTGACACTGACCAGGCTCCTCCTTAGAATCATTAATGCTTCTTACATATTCACTTATATTTATAATTATGCACACGACACAGATAGCAATAAAATTAATGAATTGAACAGGTTACAGGTACATTCGTAACTATGAAACTTCCAAGTCCACATAGATGCAGAAGACTACTATCTCAAGAAAACTACAAACTTTGGTAACTTAAAAAAAAAAATCATGAAATGCAACTTGGTCACCTACATTCTAACAATGTTATCATATCAACAAGTGGGATTCAACAATACCCCATTATAGCGCTGCTGATCCATGCCAATAATAAACATTTGATTGGATCGTATTAAACGATGAGGTTTTCTAGGTGCATTATATGTGAGAACATATGTACCCATATTCTGATTGGTTTGTAAACAAAAAATTTCAGTGTTAGGACTTTTAATTCATCTAGCATACATGTTGATGCAACAATACATAACAAACACTCAAGTGCACAATATATGTTGGCCACAAATTGATCTCAAACACTTATTAACGACCGAGTACACCCCAAGACGAATAAATTTGAGACACTGAAACAGCTCAAACAATATAGAAATGATGTTGTACCATGTTTTTGGACTTTCTGATGAGAAAATCTTTACACAACGCAACCGACATGCACAGTCTAGACCATGTAACAGATACTTATTGCTCATATGGCAAAAACTAATTAGAACAAAGAAAAGTAAACCTTAAGTTGATATAACTCTCCAATGCAGAATAATTATTATAACAATGTTCATAAAAAGAGCATGCTGTTAATTTCTTAAATGGAAATTTCAGTTAAATCAACACATATAGTACAATGTATGCATAGCCTTATTTGTCAAGCAATAACACTCATTTGCTTACATAGACAAGATATTAAATTAAAGTAGAAGAATCTCACAATTCACATTTCAGGGATAACTCAATCTACTCTGTTAGAATAGTTTTGTATTACAATTATTTTTTTTTTGATAAGTAGTTTTGTATTACAATTATTATGCCTCTATTAACTTCACACTACATGAGGATTACTCGCTACTTAAAATAGATTGACAAGCAATTCTAACAAAAGTCGAGATTGTCGTCACTCAGCCGTTGGATAATGTGGGTCCCATGGTCGGGACCACTAATCCAACGGCTGACAGTTAGCTACAGAGAAGTAGCACTTTTCTATATTTAATTAGCGCTTATGCAACCAATGATGATCAAAGCTCATGATGAACAATTTATCGAATTCATTAGCTAAATTCTCAATTCAAGTTCAATTGAGCATCGTCAAGTGAAAGAAATTAATCAATTTTACCTCAGAATCACTAATTCGACTCCGAACCGCTGATACCGACCTCCTCCTCCTCGAATTAGCATCCAAACCCGCCCTCCCCCCACCAGAACCATTACAACAATCACTTTTTCCATCACCCACTCCAGAGCTCTGCCTCGACGAAGATCTCCCCCGTCTTTGCGATGATATAGTCCCCGCCGTGGAAGGGCTAATTTCGGAACTCCGGCGAGACGACCGGCCTCTCTCGCTCTCTCTGTCACTTTTCGGGTCCTTGAAAGGGAAGAACTCGATTGCGAGATCGTCGAGGCTGATTTCAGGAAAATCCGAACCTCTGATCGTGTTCACGAATCTGCCTTTCGGTGCCGGAACATCGCCGAATTCCACTGCCGGCTCATCCAGCCGCCGCGAGAATCGGCTGAGACTCCTCGACCGGCGATGATTTCTGTTAGACGAACTGGAGTCCTCGACGTTCGACGACGCTCCCACCGGAGTTCTCTTCGTCGTCGATTTGAACGCCGATGTCGCCATTACCAAACAACGGACTAAGCACGAAACTATATATATATATGTACGCGTATGTAAAATATACAGATAGATTAGGGTTTGAAACTCTCAAGAATGAGTATTAAAGTTCTGAATCTAAAACGTACGGGAAGGTAGACGAGGGGGAGTTTCCTAGAGAGGGATTTCTATACACAGTTTTGAAGCGAGAGTTTTAGAGGGAGAAAGTTGTTTTCTAGAGAGAGAGAGTTGCGAGCACACGGAGAAGAGGTGAAACTTGAAAGTGAGTGAAAGAGACGGAAATTTTTGATTTTGCAGGTGAAGAAATTGTTGGCGGAGAGATCGAATTTTTTAGAAATTTAAAAATGAAAAGTGTTTGGACGGACGGAAAAGCCCGGTTTTGATTTAACAATTGCATAATCACCATTGACTGTTAAGTGCCATTTGTGTGAATTTCTCATTGATCACTTGTAATTTTTCCTTAATTTAGGAAAAATTACATATAAATGGAGTCAAAGTTCCATATTTACTTAGAAACTGAATCAAAGTTTCATATTTCTCTAAAATGGATTGCTGAGGTAGCACATAGTTTTTTACTGTTTAAAAAATTGTGGTGCCTAAAATGCCCTTCCCTAACAAAAAAGTAGTACCTTCAGTTCAAAAAAGTAGTACCTTCGGAGAAAAAGTAGTACATTCGTGGATGTTTAAAAAACATGGTACCTGGACGCCAAAAAATAGTACCTTCAGTTCAAAAAAGTAGTACCTTCGAAGAAAAAGTAGTACCTTCGTGGAAGGGTATTTTAGGCACCACAATTTCTAAACAGTAAAAAATCATGTGCCACCTCAGCAATTCATTTTAGAGAAATATGGAACTTTGACTCAGCCTTTAAGTAAATATGGAATTTTGACTCCATTTATATGTAATTTTTCTTAATTTATATTATTATAAATAAATAAAAATGTTTTTAATTCACATCTAATGTTGGATTACTATTATGTTCTCCTTCTTATTATCTTTCAAAAAAAATTGTAAACATAACCGGACGGTCCAAAGTCTCACGTATTTATGGGTCTATTTAATATTCACAGCTATTATTCTTCGGGTTGAGTTCTTATGTGAGACAGTGACTGTTGAGATGTTGATACATATATTATTATTCTATATTTTGTAACTTTTATTTTTAAAAATTTAACAAGGTTTAACTTTTCAAAAAACCATCTTATCTTAATTTATTTTAAGTAAAAATGGGTGGAACCGAAATTTTTAAATATGAACTTTTTTAATGTTTTTTTTTTTTTTCAAACTTTCATACATATTTATTATAATAAAAATAATAAAATATATTAGAGAATTAAAATAAATATTTTATAAATTTACATGACAATATAAATTTGCTGTATTAAATAGACAATTATACCAATTTTGCACTCACCTTATCTTCACAGACCTCTACTTCGAAGAGGGTGTGCTACGGACCAATTGGTCCTTTGAAAACGTCCTGTATTTTGACAGCATAGTTTTTAAATCTATATTCAAAATTCAAAATTTTAAGCCCAAAGTCATATATATATATTTATGTATGTATGTGTGTATGCCTTCAAAGGAGTCTACGGCCAGTAAGTAAAGGTAGCTTTGCGATAAACCCAACAATTCGATTTGATTGGGCTACCACTTGATGAATTTAAACACAACGTTAAAATTTACTACTTTTCTGACAATGTGATAGAAAATAAAACTATTTAAGGACGGTAATTACACTTGTTAATTTACCGGCTATGGATATATGATCTGAATTTATAAAAAGAAATCTTGAATTTGATCTGAATCTATAATCAGACTAATTATTATAAATGAATTCGTATCTGATTTATTATTTATAAGATAGCCAATTTGATAACCATTTCATTAAGAAGTGCAATTTTTATTTGTTAAGAATAAAATAGTAATACTAAAAGGTATAGGCCTATGCAAAGAAAAATTGAAAATAATTAAAGAGAAGACAAAAAATAAAAAATGAAAAAAATAAAAAGAGTAATCAATAGATATTATGTTAGAAAATATTATATATATCATATTACAAATTATAGCATTATTTAATATATTAACGGATTATTGAATTAAATGTCCCAATTCAAACTGAATATGTGTGAGACTAGTAAACTCATTTTTGAGATTTTGCACAAGCTTCCAACATTTTCTATTGTTCGAATTGTACTTTTCATTAAAATTAAATTATAACCCAATCTTTATTCTGATTGGACATAGTTGATGTGTGGAATAATTCCATCCGAATTATAAGTACTAACTAGTATTTATTTTATTATTAACATGAAAATAATTCTTACATCTAATAGTTGCATTGAATTACCAGACTTAATCTTTTAACTAGTCAATTATTAATAAAACATATACGTAACCATTCCGAAACCTAAATCTAATATGTGGGATTTAAAATAATTATAGCAAAGCTTTAGTGTAACCTTTTTATCTTTTAAAGAAGGTCATAGGTTCAAGTGCTCCTAAAAATATATGGTTGTATGATTGTATTTTTTACCATTAAAAAAGATTAAATAAATTAAATAAATAAACTTAAAAAAAATTAAAGCCAAAATAGCCTATTTAGAAAGTTTGTAGATCACCGAGAGCTATAATGTACTTTATTTCCTCGCATTAAGGTGTTAGGGTCGGCTTATTCTAATGTTTATCAATGGTGTATATAATCAATTCACACAATTATAAAGATTTTTATATCATTTCTTTTGGCCTATCCAAAATAACAAACTGGTTACACTTATAACCGAAACGGAAATTGATTGTTTTGTGGTTCAGAAATGTGGAATTTTATCTCTACCATCATTTGTTAGCACTATTTGGAGTAAGTTATTTGGCTTGGACAGTGCATTTAGTTCATGTCGTTATTCATGTATTAAAAGGGGGTACGTTCCATGGAATAATTTCTTAACTGTATCACGACATCTCCAAGAAGAGTTAGGGTTATAACCACTTTTTACAAGTAAGTGGAATCTTTACGCTCAAAATCCCCCATTCAAGTAATCATTTATTTGGTACCTCCCAAAGAGCATCATAAACTGTAATTCTAACCCTGGGAGGATTCCATCCACAAATGCAAAGTTTATGGTTGACTGATATGGCATCATTATTTAACTAAAGTCGCTATAGAAACGAAAGTATTTATATTATGTTTGGAATATTCGAACAAAAACCTTCCATTTAGAATTAAAGAAAGTTCAAGTAGGTTGAGAAGCCATTACCATTGAATGCTCTAGACTCCACATACACCCTGCACAAAGAAAGAAAAAATAAATAAAATAAAATTAGTGTAGAAAGAGCTTGGGAACTAGTGGTCTTAAGTAATAGTGGAGTACTTTTGGTACACATGAAAGTTTGAGCGGTCGCTAACCAACTTAAAAGAGTGACAATAATGCAACACTTTTGTGCATTTTAATTTGCAAGTGTGGGGCCCATTTGAAACCGTAAAATTAATCTCTGCAAGGACGGTGTCAAATTGCCAATAACTGTTGATGAATGCGTGTCGTTTGGTATGAATTTTGTTTCTTCTATTTTTATTTTTAGATTACTTAATTAAAATATGCACCAATCTTGTTTTATTTTACACAGTGTTAAAATATTTCTAACATATTTGGTGTGAGTGAATAGAATCAAATGAAGTAGGAATGGAATACTTTGTTTCCATTCTTTAGTTTGGTAACTACTAATTTTAAAGTTGAAATAATGATTTTACCTATTCTCTGAGAATTGTGATTTCCAGTAATTCATTCAACTTTCTAACTAAAAGAATTACCATTCAATTCCCACTTTAAACAAAAATATAATAAATAAGTGAATAAACTCACTTTATTTCATTCCGTCACACCAAATTAACCCTTTGTGAACAGTAACCTAAAATTAAAATATAAAAATATAATAAATAAATGAATAAACTCACTTTATTTCATTCAGCCATACTAAATTAACCCTCGTGAACGACCTAAAACTAAAATACAAAAAAATTATTTTTTCTTACGGTTTCAAATGGGCCCACACTTGACAACACCCCACAGTGCACCCACTATTTACACGTGAGACTACATCACTTAAAACTTTCTGCTGCCTCAGTGCACCCACTCTTTCCCCAATTCTATTCTCTCATCTCCCTCTCTGCTTCTCTCTCTCTTCTCAACCCTTTCTTTGCATACCACACATATACTTGTAGGACATGTTTGGCACCTTTAGCCGACAACAAAGGATCCTTCTTTCCTTAGATGTTACCTACCCACACATTCCTTCACTAAGTGGAGACTCAAACCACCTCCCTTCAAGAAGTAAAATATTTTATACATATTTTATCCCGAAATTTATATTTATTCCATTTAATTAGTAAATTTTTGTATTTGTTAAGATTATTTGTAACGTCCCCCAAAAATGAAATAAAAATAATAAATTTAGAAAGAATTTGAAGATGGCTATATAGTATATAATATATGTTTATAACCAAACGTAAGAAACCTCAAGTCGAGCTGCAATGATCTAGTAACATATTACTACTAAGGGCAAATTAAATTATATTACTAGAATTATGACTAATTCTAGTAACATATTAATACTTCTGTATTAATAAAAGTAATTAGTGCATTTATATTGCATCTTATAATATTAGATCTTATAAATTAAAAAAGTAATGGTTCATAAAAGTAATTGGTGCATTTATAATTACATCGTTGAAGTTATAAATTAAAGAAGTAACGATTCATCAAAGTTTGGACTTTGGCACAACCATCATTGTTTCATACGAATTTTAAGATGAAAAAGCTCCAATTCCATGTTCATCTTGGAAGTGCGAGGGATGCTTTGGTCGAGTCAAATGAACCCGCTCCATCCATGAGCGATCTTCGAGTAGGCCATCGTGTCCACGGTAAACGCGCGAAGCGGATAACTACCGAAAGCATCTAAGTAGTAAGCCCACCCTAAGACGAGTGCTCTCCTATTCCGACTTCCCCAGAGCATGCGGTAGCATAGCCAGGACAGCGACGGGTTTCTCTACCCCTGATCTTGATATCCCCTCATTGTAGAGGTTGAAATCTTCAACTAGAGCCAATGCAATTTCAGCCTCAAAAATTTGCCTAAGCCCCGAAGACTGAGGTTTATCAGCTTATCAAGAATCTTAAGTTGGGCCAATTATGCCATCTGCAGCTTAAGATTTTTGATAAAATTTAAGATTGTTGATAAATCTCAGTCTTCGGCTAAGGGAAAATCTTGAGGCTGAAATTGCATTGGTTCTAGTTGAAGATTTCATGTAGAGGGGATATCAAG